CAGATTGTGTTTATGCTTTGAGCACATTTTTTCACTGTGCACACATCTCAAACTCAGAGATGAATTTCTGTTGAATTTTTCATTTGAACTCTGGAGCACTTGAAGTACAAGGTATCATTGTACTTTGGTTCACCCAACAAAAGTAATTCTAAATATTACCTGTTTAAAACAAACTTGACAGAACATAATTTTTCCTTTGGTAGTAAAATTATGATAAAGTGTTTATGATCAAATTATGATCATCAATTGTTGCTTTTAGAACAGTGGGTTCACACCCACTGTCCTAAAAGCAACAACTTAGATAATTTTACATCAAGCACTGTATCTAAGTGACTCACACAAAACATGAACACTAAATTCTGTGTTTTTAAAGGGACCATCTGAAAAAAAATAGCATAAATGGAAACTACATTCTTCATGTATAGTATACAAGGTCTGTTCAAAAAGTATCAGACCTTATTTTTTTCCGCGTAAACCAATGATGCGAGAGAGGCCTCCTTCGGTGGAGTTGTGGAGGGGAGACCTTATTTTTTTCCGCGTAAACCAATGATGCGAGAGAGGCCTCCTTCGGTGGAGTTGTGGAGGGGACAGTCATGCACAGCCCTGAATTTTTTCCCGCCTGCAGAAAGCGTCAGTCGTTGGCAATCGGCGTATGAGTGAGGTCATGTAGTGCGCTCTCGTCGGATTTCACTAAGCTGGAAAATGACTGAACAACGTGAGCAGCGATATTACATCAAATTTTGCCAAAAACCTTGGCGATACCCGAGTGTAAACCATTCGCAAGATTCAGCAGGCTTTCGGGGACGATCCTCGAGGCCAAAAAAAGCGCGGCAGGTCCGCAGCAATATCAAAGGTCATGTTGACAGTTTTTTCGACTCTCGTGGGGTGGTGTGTCGTGAGTACGCACCACAAGGCCAAACCATCGCAAAGGAGTACTACCAGGAGGTCCTTCGTCGTCTTTCCGATACAGTGCGATGCAAACGATGGGATCTGTGGTCGATCAAAACTTGGCAGCTCCATCGTGATAACGCATCCGCCCATTCTGCGCATCTGATTCGGGCTTTCGTCGCCAAACACAATACTCCTGTGGTTCGTCACGCTCCGTATTCTCTCCACATGGCTCCGTGTGACCTTTGGCTATTTCTCAAGCTGAAAATGCCGCTAAAAGGAACCCAAATTTAGTCGAGAGAAGACATCGTGCGAAATGCGACGGACCGGCTGATAACCATTCCAAAAGATGCGTTCCAGCAGTGTTTCCAGCAATGGCAGAAACGCTGGGAGAAGTGTATACATTACCAAGGAGACTACTTTGAAGATTAGGGTTTTGTTCCTCAAAGTCAATAAATTTATTTTTGCCAACCAAAGGTCCGATACTTTTTGAACAGACCTTGTAAGCCTGATTAGGTAATGAATCTGCATTTCAGAGGTGGCTATATTGTTCATGTGTGTGTTTACAGATCAACTAAATAAAAAAAAATTGTGAACAACCTATTGCTAAATATACTTACAATATGAAAAGCAACTTTTTTTTTTAATCTAATCACAAAAAAATATTTAAATCTCTAAAAGATTAATTTTGAATTTTTTTTATATAAAATTTGTCAGCCAGTCAAAAGCATAATTTCCAATGTTAAATGTGTGGGAATTCAAGAAAATTGGTTACAAATCATTTAACTGTTAACAATTAAACCAGATTTTAAATTTAAATTATACATGAATGAAATTCATTGATCATTTCAAAGTACATTAACATTGGGCTAGTAGATTGATTAATTTCATATTTTTATAACTCTTTTAAACTCTCTACGCTTAAAAATGGCTAGCTGCTTATAATTGTTTTTGCCCTTTCTATGGTTAATAAATTATCATCTGTATTGACACTTTAATGAAAAGAAATACTGTAATACGTTAATAATAAATATTATTTTTAGATGTTATTTAAATATAAAGAATAAATATATTCAATTAAATTTTATCAAAACTTTTGAAAATATCTGGTGTGCATCTTTTATTTTAGTTACTGTATATCTTGAATGAATTATTAACAGTTTTTAATTGTTTTAATGTTTTTTTTAGGGGCCAAGGGTTCATAATCATAAGGTGCCGAGAGTTTTTTTACTTTTTCTGACATGTGGGCAATAAGAGGGGCTGTTTATGAAGCCCATTATGGATTAAGCTTGAATGGGACCTGGCACATCTGAAACAGACCACCCATGATAAATTTCTGGGGTTTTTCAATCTGTCTGGATTCAATCCCAGGTCCCCAAAAGTGATAGATTAATGGCTGAGTGGTGAAGGTGATAAGACCTTCACCACTCAGCCATCCAGGTGCCAAAGGGTGTCCTTTTATAAGAAACTTCGTTTCAAACAATTTTCAGATTTTGTATTGTAATGTCAGAGTCAATAAACCAAAATTTTCATGCATTATAATCTTATTTACTAACCCTGCTTAATGTTATCAGTCAGTTGTTATCAGTACAGCAAATTCCAAAGTATTAACAATTCTGCTGCAAAGAGCAAATGTAAAAATTTTATGTCTGAATTTATTTCAAACATTAAATTTTTATGTATTTTATTACATAAAGTCTGTATATATCAATATATTTTCTTTATATATAAAGAAAATAATATGTCATTCTGTTTTTTTTTTTTTTCAAACTCTGATGGTCCATAAAAAAAAAAGACAAGTGTAAATAACAAAATGAATTTATTACCAAAAGTTAGATACAAACATGGTTATTTTTTGACATAATCACCGTGAAGATTGAGGAATTTGTCATATTCTCTGGATGAGCTTTTCCATCCCCTTTTCATAGAATGTTGCTGCCAATAACTTGAGATAGGCCCTAATGTTGTTTTGAAGATCATTAGTTCGTTAGTTTCAAACCTCTGCCCTTCTAGCCACTTTTCCTGTTCAGGAAAGAGGTGGAACTTGCTCGGCGGTAAATTGGGTATACGCTGGGTGTTTAAAGGTGGTGAAGACTTCCACCCAGCTTAAAACTTTTTAATGTGCGAAGACTTTCATCTCTTTCATGAACTGAAAACATGGCTAGCAGGGCAGAGATTTGAGACTAATGAACTAATGACGATATTCAAAACGTTTCTTCTAATTCTATGTCACGACTTGGTGCATTTATACAGTCGCAGGCGAGGCTGTACGCAACACTCGGAGAGGGGTGAAGTTACAAATTACGAGGCATGCGGGGGAGGCCGTCAAGTCAGGAGAAGATGAGAGGGGAAGGGAGCGGGAAGTACGGAAAATCCCAGACTGATACCGTATACTATCGATGTAACAGACTGAAGAGGGGCGGAAGCCCGAAACGCGTTTCTGTATGAATTAAAATGTATGTATTGTGCCAAGTGTCGATAAATGCACCAAGTCGTGACATAGAATTAGAAGAAACAAGAAAAAGAAGACACGGTTTCGACAAATAACTAATTCAAAACGTTGTTAAGGCCATCTCAATTCAGTGGCGGCAACATTCTATGACAAGGGGGATGGAAAAGCTCATCCAGAGATATGACAAATTCCTCAATCTTCACAGTGATTATGTTGAAAAGTAACCATGTATGTACCTAACTTTTGGTAATAAATTCATTTTGTTATTTACACTTGTCTTTTTTTTTTATGGACCATCAGAGTTTGAAAAAAAAACAGAATGACATATTATTTTTTTTATATATAAAGAAAATATATTGATATATACAGACTTTATGTAATAAAATACATAAAAATTTAATGTTTGAAATAAATTCAGACATAAAATTACTAAGAGCTTTTTCTACCAGCAATTCATCTACAATGATGAATCAGAAAATTCTTCTTTACCATCTGCATGGGCCATAGTGATATTAGAATGTTCAGTCTTATTTGGAAGCACAAGATTTTTGTTTTTAACACATTCTGGTCAAAAACCTTTCAACATGCATTCAATGTTGATGGATCTTAATTCTGATAATACCAATCCTATATGTTTGATACAGTCCACAATAGAAAATTTTTTTCTACATGTCAATGACTGTTAGTGTTATATAGTCATCTAGTTTATTCAAAATGTATTGGAATATTTGCTTTACTTAGTACATTTTAAATGTTATTATACCCTAATCTAGTGGTTTTACCAATGAAGTCATATTAAGTGACAGAAAACAAAGTTGCAGATTTGGATGATCCAAAACCAGATGGCCAAGTGCATTGTCTACAATCAATAGAAATTTAAATTTGAGATATTTTTTCTTTATATAGCATTTAACTTTTGTACACATGTATTGAACCATTCAGTAAAACTTTGTTTCATCCAGGCTTTTTTTCTTTGCTATTCAATAAGTTGGCAAGCTATTCAAATTTACATGTTTCATTGACTGCAGTTTTAGGCATCAACTGATGAGCAACACTTTTAGCATACAATCTCTCAAGGCATTGCTGCAAAATAGAAAGGTCACATGATTCCTGGCTACTTCAAAATCACTAATGGTTTTTTGTGATTCTATTACATAAGCTTTTTACTTGGCATTTTTTTTTTCCAAAAAAAAAACGACCACTTCCATTTGCATTCCAAACTTGATCAGAAGTGTATCCATCATGTTCAATAATTTTGGTTAGTTTTGGAAGAAATTCTTTAGCTGCTTGCTCATCTGCATATGCAATTTTATTTTTACTCTTTATATTATGAAGTGTATCTCTTTGAAGAAATCCCGAGCTAATTCCATTTCTTTAATCTGGTTATAAATTCTTAATGTCTTCTATTTAATGGTATCTTTCATCTACTGTTTTTTTTTTTTTTTTTTTCCTTTTGCAATCTATCTTTTACTTATATTACCAGTACTTTTTTATCTTATCTATAAATATTATTGATGAAAAACAAAAAAGATGTTGCTTATTTTTTTTTCTTCTTTTGAATAGAGTTATTTAATTCCAGGTGTTAATAATTATTAATGTTTATATATTTAAATTAAATTAATCTTGATTTAAATACTTATTAAATGGTTTTTTTTAACAGGAGTTTCTGCTAGCTGAAAAAATAAATACATTGTTATGGATGATTCGAATGGGATCTATAATGTTCACAGTATTGTATATGATTCCTTTGTTTGGGTAAGTAGCTATTATGATTAAAGTATATTTGAAATTTCAAATGAAACGTTTTTAATAAAAAATATTTAAACAAAAATTGCAAAGAATTTATAATATGAATTAATATAAACAAAAGTTATTTATTAATCCACATTTAAAACATTACACATGATGTAATTGTAATCACAGTGCCATATTTAGTTTTTGAATAAGTGTTCTAGATAAATTTCATTTTCTGATATTAATTTAATACTAAAATTTTCATATATATTATTTTAACACTATAATAATGTAAAGCAAGAAAAGTATATCTAACACATATTTTGGAAATCTAACTTTTTTAGTTATGATGAATATTATTATTTAACCTTTAGCAAGAGCACAGTAAAAAAAAAAAAAAATTTAAATTGAAAATTTTGATTTAATTGTACAAGTTTGAATGTACTATATATGTTGAATTGAATTTGAATCATAATATTTTTTTAAATAATATGGATTTTACTGCTTTCTTATTAGAAATTTATAAAAACAGACAATTTCCTATTTTATAAAAAAGTTTATATAAATAGTTCATTTTAAAAAGTTTATCTTGATAGTGTAATATTGATAATAAATCTTGTTTTAGGTATTTTATTAAGTAAGAATTTAAAATTTTATAAATGCATCAAAGAAATTTATATAAATTGCAGAAATTGCTGTTCATTAGATCAATAAAATACTAGTAATTTAATTAAGTTTTATTATAGAAGTTTGATAGACAAACATTCTATCCAACTTTTATTATATGTGTAATCAGAATTTTATACATTTAATCTTCAACATTGTCTATTGATAATGCTGAAATTAAGTGTATAAAATCCTGGTAATAATAATAAAGTAAAGAATTAGAAAAATTTGTAGATAAAAATGAATTAAATTAACAAAATATAGTCAAACACAATGTTTCTCAATTATACATTTTTCACAATTATACATGAAATATTCTGAAGGATACTTTCTATTATAAAACATTTCAGTTATATGTTCTTCATTTAGAGCTGCCACAATCTAGTGCTTTGTGAGAGCAAAACGCTAGCACATCTGATGACATCAAAGGCTCTGTCCCTTTCTTTGTGGCCACGTGGTTTTTCCTTTGCTAGTACATTGATCTGCGAACATATGCTCACTGTTGACAGAATTCGACAGATAGAGAAGTCGCGCTAGCAAGAGAGAGCGGGGAAACTTGATGACGGCATGAACATGTCAAGTGTCGAAAAACAAATAATAGAATTTTATCTATGTAAGTAAATTACATGATTAATACATTCAGTATTGAAAAGAAAATAGTATAAACGTTGTACATAAATATTTTTGGCTAGTTAAGCCCAACTAGTTATAGTAGGCATGTTTTTCCCATGCTGTTTCCAAGTTCGGAACGAAAACTGACTGATTACAAATATAGATTATAATAAAATCTTTGTTCTATAGCAATCCACATCTGTGGAATCCAAGTTATGCCGACTACTACAAAAAGAACAAGAGGGATTCCACACTAACATAATTAAGAGAGCTTTTAGCTTCTGAACATGGAATCAACATCACTTGTAATTAATCTGGACCATGAATTTAATAACCAGCCTGGTGGCAACACTAGTCGCTAATCTCCCATGATGCAGCACTTTTATGTAAGCAACCGTTGTGTAGTTTGCGGCTGCTTCATGCCTGAGTGGCTTACCTAGCAAAATGGCTCGTAGCCTTGTGGGGAAAAAAGGCGGGGCTTTGGAGTACAAACAAGTGTACGCTACCTCCTGCTTCTCGTAGTTTTGCAGCGGCTCTTATACAACTTTACATTTGCATTACATATTTTTTGATAGTTTATAGCACTTTTCTTGTTTATGCATTATTCACTTTGACATGGAAAAATTTTAAGTAATTAAAGAAAATTCAGCAAAGAGTTGCTTAACTTTCTTGGCAACATTTAAAACTGCATGTGGTGCCATCTGTTATGATATTTTATTTTAAAAACTTTTTATATTTTTAATTATTATAGAATGGCAAAAAGTTTAATTTTGAGGGTAAGAATGGATTTTATAAAAAAAAATTGTAAATACTAATAACTAGTAAAATCTTCATTTAAGTCTGACCCTACTTGAGATATGATATATGATCTACTATATCTATCCATCCCTCTACCTTTCACCGCCAAAATTTAATAGCATCAATGCCCATAATACACAAACCTCTCTGCAATATTTCAGAAATTTTCAACAAAAAGCACAGGAGTTATTAAGCTTCAAAGAGGGTGAACAAAATTCTGCCTCACACATTAACATCCATATACAGAAAAACCCTCAGCTTTTTTTGAATTTCTCGATGTTTCATAGTCTCCTGAGTCCAAAAATGGAAAAAATCTTGTAGGGGATCAATCACCATACTTTTTATCTGTTAAATATAACAGAGAAAAGGTAAAGGGAAAGTAAAAAAAAAATGAAAAAGCAAATTTATATATTCACTTCAACTTAGTCCTCACTGACAGAGAATCATCAACAGATACAAAAAGCAAAACAAATAATATGTAATGTGACATTGTTTTTTACAAGTTATCCAGTTTAATAAATCACTCTGCCAGTACAACATATTGAAAATTTTCACTTTTCATATTTTGTAGTGTGGACCAATTTTGCTAAGCAAATAAAAATTGTTTTACAGTTTCTCATTTATTTTAACTATTTGCTGTCAATGTGAGCTAGCTTTTAGAATGACTTTCATTCTTTAATGTGATTGGAGTTTTAATGGAAAGAAAATGAACTATTGTCACATACTGTATCAGTGTGACAAATCTATTGAAAAAAACAAGAAATGAGCAAAACTTGCTTAATTTTTTAAAAAGTGAAATTTTTTAAATTCATACTGTTCTACTTTTCTTTTTAGACATTGTTCAGATGTGTTATACATATAATAAATTAAAACTTCTTTTTTAAGAATTACACACAAATTCAGTTATGCAGTGTTAATTTAATACTTTTGCGAAAATTATATTCACTGTGAAAGCAATTCAAAAATAGTTTCAATTGTATGTTTTTCTCATTTACATGATATTTTTCTGTTTTCTTGAAAAATATATAAATGAGGTTCAACTGTACAGTATATCAAATCGCTGCATAATTTTATTTTGAATTTTTTACTTATATATTAAATAATCTCATGAATTGATATATATTTTCTTATGAATTAATGAGTTGTTTTTATTATATTTCAGAATTAATCCTTATAATTATTATTACAAAGCTTTGATGAGTAATGCTGCCACAAGTGCCCTGCGTCTCCATCAACGCTTGCACAATGTGAGATTCAGCTTTACAAGAGAATTCTTTGCTCAGTTGCTATTAGAGGATAGTTGCCACTATCTCTTTTATTCTCTTATTTTTCTCTATGTATACCCAATGACTTGTATCCTTTAATGTATAATTCATAATAATAAATTTAGTTTTTAATTTTAAGATTAAAATTTCTTTAATAAAAATTTAATTTTTATTAAGAAATTTAGTTTTTATGTAAAATTATGAATGTCTTTAGTTTTAAACTGAAATTTTCATTAGATGTATTTACATAGTTTTCAGTTATGTCAAAGACAAGTATTTCACTACTTTATTAAAATTTTAAGCATAATGATATACAGTGTACAACAAAACTGTTTAGTTCAGGCTCTTTCTATTGTAAGCCATATTTTATATTTCAATCTTGTTGCAATCTTGCAAGACATAGCTATAAAAGCTGATAATTTGAAAGATTAAAAATATTTCTACTGATAAAAATATTTAGCTCCCTGAACTAAACAGTTTTGTCTTAAATACTATATATTATGGTGCCTGTGTTACCTGAGTTAGTTAGTTAATACATTTTTTCCGAAATAATTTGTTAAGAAATGTTAAAGATGTAAAATTTTTATAGAAATTTGTATATTTGATTATTATTTTCAATTTATAACATTTTTGAATTTTTTTTATTTTGCTCTTGGATACTTACAAAAGAAGTACCATATTTTTGTTTGTTAGAAATTGCTAGAATAAAAAATACAACCTTTGCATAACTTGCTTTACCATTTATACTCAATTCCTATGAAACAGATGGTGATTCATAGGCACACATTTCTAATTGCATTTTTAAATCAGTATATAACCCACTCTATCACATAACTTCAGTCTTTCAAATTGCCTTTTAAACATATAGTTTGCACAAAAAATATGTAAAAAAAGTATAATGAAAATTTTTGTATTTCCACTTATTATTTGTATTTTATAAATTGTCGTAAATTTGATTATGATGATTTCTGAATCTAAATGATAATATAATTAAACAATAGACAGTGCACATGATAATTAAAAATAAAAAGCAATTTAGAAATTTGTTATTTTATTTTAAAATATTGCAGATGAGAGAATGACATTTTGGAAAAAAAAATTATATAAAATTTATTAAAAAAAATTAATAAAAAAAATTTGCATTATTTAATTTATTGATATAATATGCAAATGATGATAGTATGTCCTTACAATTATGGCAGTATATGTTTTAATATTGAATTTTTTAAACGTAGTCTGTTTAAATTTGAGTTATTTAGTTTTGAAAGATTGCTTTTTAAAATTAAGAATGAAGATAGATGAAAATATCTGTATGTACTGATTAACTGGTTTGGAGATAGATTCCATTTTAAATAAAATTTAATCCTCTTTTGATAGAGATTAATAATTCAGCTTATTATTGATATAATGTTATGAAAAATGTGTTTTATATTATGTTATATTAAGATTTTTCTTTTAACTTACTGTAAATGTGCTGTTAAATATCAATGTATTGATATAATAGCATATTATTATAAAGTGAAGTGGCTAGACAATTTAGTTGAATTTGATGAGTGTTTCTATGATTGTGAAAGAACTATTTAAACTTAGAAATATATTAACAAGACTTGGTTGCTTGTTGTTCTCTATTATATGTATTTTCTTAGCACAATGTTGCTATTGAGAACATATTACATAGGAACACTTTCAGAGGAAAAGGTTGTTTTATTGATGTGAATGAATATGCATTTTGGGCTTAATGCCCCTCTTCAGTCCTGAGATAGTGACAGTTAAACCAACATGACTTGTAAGAAGATATACACGTAGTTGAAAAAGGGAAAAGGAGCTACGTGTATATCTTCTTACAAGTCATGTTGGTTTAACTGTCACTATCGCAGAACTGAAGAGGGGCGTTAAACCCGAAATGCATATCCGTTCACACCAATAAAACAACCTTTTCCTCTGAAAGTGTTCCTGTGTAATATGTTCTCAATAGCAACATTGTGCTAAGAAAATACATATTAACAAGACTTCATATACATTTATTCTATATTTAACTACAATAATAAGTGGTACACATTCTATTCCAAAATCTAGCTATATATTCTTCAATCTATGTGTTACCTATCTTAAGGTTCTGATTTGATGTAATCTGGTTAACCTCTTTTCAAAGTTTCAATAAAATCTTTAGATAAAAAGATAACTCATAACTCGCTTATGAGAGAGCAAAAATTTGGGTTGTTTTTTTTTTTACTCTTTTTGCTCTGTAGACACTAAGGAAGATCTTTTTATCATCCCATCAAGAGTTTGACTGGACCAACAATGGGGCTGCTGGGTGGAAAGGAATGGGGCTCAACATATCAGGGACAGACCACCCCAAAAAATTTCTGGGTTTTTTAACCCATCCTGATTCTTGGATCCCTCAAAGCATTAGGTTAACACCTTAATCACTTGGTTGAGAAATCCAAATTTCAAATTTTATCTTCAAATATATAAGGACTTCTTTTTAGATTACCAAAAGCAAGTGAAAATAAAAATGATGATCAGAAAATAGGATTTTGTTTGTGACATATATTTTACAAATAAATATTTATAAATAAATACAATAGAGCATCGATTATCCAAATATTGATCAACCGAAAGTGTTCCAGTTGGCAAATTTAAATTTCCACTAGTGCTGTAGCACTGCAATATTTGGCTATATCTTGAGCTACTTCAATATTATTTTTGTTGGTGTGTGTGTTTTAGCTGGCAGCACTGGCCTGACCATGAGAGGGTACTTAAGGACACACCAGGATTTGAACGAATTTAATTAACCTATCCCATGTTGAAACATGGGATAGGTTAATTAAANTATATATATAATATGTATAATAAACTATTTTAAAAATTAAAGGAAAGTAAAGTAAATATACTAGAAATGCAATCATTATTATAAATTAAATTTCTTTTTAGGATGTAGAGAATTTAGCCATAAACAGTTTAAAATGAAGTTCAGTTTAAAGCTAAAAATAATACTTTTTTTTTTATATGCTTTAAATTAATCTTTTCAAATGTTTAATTAATTATATATTTTAAAAGGTTTTCAGATTTAATGATGATAATATAATGGTTAAATTAAAGTTTTTGAATAGTCATGAAATAATCTAAGTTATTTATAACTTTCATTTTTTTAAATATTTGTTTTAAAACTATTTTTCAATAGTAATAATAATAATAATTTAATAGTTTTGTTTGCCTTAATGATGATGCAGTGGTTTTGTTACCAATATTTCTTTTTGCTGTGCTACATTGTTCAAGTTATTCTTTGACATTGCTGAATGTAAGAAATATTGACTATTCTACTATTATGTTATTGATTAATGAATTTTAAAATAATTTCATTTATTGGTGTTTACTAAAACATTGAGATTGAATACTAAAGTATTTGTATTGTTTGTATTTGTATTATTGCAAAGTACTTAATATTATCTGATAATGAAGCTTTGAAAACAGTTATTAAATGCTTTGACTTCTTAACTTTTATGATGAATTTTAAGAAACTTTAATTTTTGACTTGCTGATTTAAGTTTTTAAATTTTATTTGAGTGCTTAAACATATGCTGCTTCTGTTAATATGAGTAATTATGAAATTTACATTTTTGAATGTTTAAAATTTTATTACATATTGCCTAAAATTATAATAAACTAATCAGGAAAAATATTTATAAACAGTAAAACTGTACAAAACACATTCTTATACAAGAAAGATAGGACTTGAAGTACATTTCTGATGATATAAATTATAAGCTAACACAGAATTTGGAATAAGCTTGAATTTTTATTTTGATATTTTACTAAGAAAATGTTTCTATTTCCATTATACAAAAAAATTAATTTTTTATTGAACTCATTCCATAAAGATAGAATTGAATGTTAATAGATTTTATTTGTAAAGATATTGATACCAACTTGAAATTAGATAAAATATTTAAACAATTNATTTTTTAAAAAAAAATTGTAAATACTAATAACTAGTAAAATCTTCATTTAAGTCTGACCCTACTTGAGATATGATATATGATCTACTATATCTATCCATCCCTCTACCTTTCACCGCCAAAATTTAATAGCATCAATGCCCATAATACACAAACCTCTCTGCAATATTTCAGAAATTTTCAACAAAAAGCACAGGAGTTATTAAGCTTCAAAGAGGGTGAACAAAATTCTGCCTCACACATTAACATCCATATACAGAAAAACCCTCAGCTTTTTTTGAATTTCTCGATGTTTCATAGTCTCCTGAGTCCAAAAATGGAAAAAATCTTGTAGGGGATCAATCACCATACTTTTTATCTGTTAAATATAACAGAGAAAAGGTAAAGGGAAAGTAAAAAAAAAATGAAAAAGCAAATTTATATATTCACTTCAACTTAGTCCTCACTGACAGAGAATCATCAACAGATACAAAAAGCAAAACAAATAATATGTAATGTGACATTGTTTTTTACAAGTTATCCAGTTTAATAAATCACTCTGCCAGTACAACATATTGAAAATTTTCACTTTTCATATTTTGTAGTGTGGACCAATTTTGCTAAGCAAATAAAAATTGTTTTACAGTTTCTCATTTATTTTAACTATTTGCTGTCAATGTGAGCTAGCTTTTAGAATGACTTTCATTCTTTAATGTGATTGGAGTTTTAATGGAAAGAAAATGAACTATTGTCACATACTGTATCAGTGTGACAAATCTATTGAAAAAAACAAGAAATGAGCAAAACTTGCTTAATTTTTTAAAAAGTGAAATTTTTTAAATTCATACTGTTCTACTTTTCTTTTTAGACATTGTTCAGATGTGTTATACATATAATAAATTAAAACTTCTTTTTTAAGAATTACACACAAATTCAGTTATGCAGTGTTAATTTAATACTTTTGCGAAAATTATATTCACTGTGAAAGCAATTCAAAAATAGTTTCAATTGTATGTTTTTCTCATTTACATGATATTTTTCTGTTTTCTTGAAAAATATATAAATGAGGTTCAACTGTACAGTATATCAAATCGCTGCATAATTTTATTTTGAATTTTTTACTTATATATTAAATAATCTCATGAATTGATATATATTTTCTTATGAATTAATGAGTTGTTTTTATTATATTTCAGAATTAATCCTTATAATTATTATTACAAAGCTTTGATGAGTAATGCTGCCACAAGTGCCCTGCGTCTCCATCAACGCTTGCACAATGTGAGATTCAGCTTTACAAGAGAATTCTTTGCTCAGTTGCTATTAGAGGATAGTTGCCACTATCTCTTTTATTCTCTTATTTTTCTCTATGTATACCCAATGACTTGTATCCTTTAATGTATAATTCATAATAATAAATTTAGTTTTTAATTTTAAGATTAAAATTTCTTTAATAAAAATTTAATTTTTATTAAGAAATTTAGTTTTTATGTAAAATTATGAATGTCTTTAGTTTTAAACTGAAATTTTCATTAGATGTATTTACATAGTTTTCAGTTATGTCAAAGACAAGTATTTCACTACTTTATTAAAATTTTAAGCATAATGATATACAGTGTACAACAAAACTGTTTAGTTCAGGCTCTTTCTATTGTAAGCCATATTTTATATTTCAATCTTGTTGCAATCTTGCAAGACATAGCTATAAAAGCTGATAATTTGAAAGATTAAAAATATTTCTACTGATAAAAATATTTAGCTCCCTGAACTAAACAGTTTTGTCTTAAATACTATATATTATGGTGCCTGTGTTACCTGAGTTAGTTAGTTAATACATTTTTTCCGAAATAATTTGTTAAGAAATGTTAAAGATGTAAAATTTTTATAGAAATTTGTATATTTGATTATTATTTTCAATTTATAACATTTTTGAATTTTTTTTATTTTGCTCTTGGATACTTACAAAAGAAGTACCATATTTTTGTTTGTTAGAAATTGCTAGAATAAAAAATACAACCTTTGCATAACTTGCTTTACCATTTATACTCAATTCCTATGAAACAGATGGTGATTCATAGGCACACATTTCTAATTGCATTTTTAAATCAGTATATAACCCACTCTATCACATAACTTCAGTCTTTCAAATTGCCTTTTAAACATATAGTTTGCACAAAAAATATGTAAAAAAAGTATAATGAAAATTTTTGTATTTCCACTTATTATTTGTATTTTATAAATTGTCGTAAATTTGATTATGATGATTTCTGAATCTAAATGATAATATAATTAAACAATAGACAGTGCACATGATAATTAAAAATAAAAAGCAATTTAGAAATTTGTTATTTTATTTTAAAATATTGCAGATGAGAGAATGACATTTTGGAAAAAAAAATTATATAAAATTTATTAAAAAAAATTAATAAAAAAAATTTGCATTATTTAATTTATTGATATAATATGCAAATGATGATAGTATGTCCTTACAATTATGGCAGTATATGTTTTAATATTGAATTTTTTAAACGTAGTCTGTTTAAATTTGAGTTATTTAGTTTTGAAAGATTGCTTTTTAAAATTAAGAATGAAGATAGATGAAAATATCTGTATGTACTGATTAACTGGTTTGGAGATAGATTCCATTTTAAATAAAATTTAATCCTCTTTTGATAGAGATTAATAATTCAGCTTATTATTGATATAATGTTATGAAAAATGTGTTTTATATTATGTTATATTAAGATTTTTCTTTTAACTTACTGTAAATGTGCTGTTAAATATCAATGTATTGATATAATAGCATATTATTATAAAGTGAAGTGGCTAGACAATTTAGTTGAATTTGATGAGTGTTTCTATGATTGTGAAAGAACTATTTAAACTTAGAAATATATTAACAAGACTTGGTTGCTTGTTGTTCTCTATTATATGTATTTTCTTAGCACAATGTTGCTATTGAGAACATATTACATAGGAACACTTTCAGAGGAAAAGGTTGTTTTATTGATGTGAATGAATATGCATTTTGGGCTTAATGCCCCTCTTCAGTCCTGAGATAGTGACAGTTAAACCAACATGACTTGTAAGAAGATATACACGTAGTTGAAAAAGGGAAAAGGAGCTACGTGTATATCTTCTTACAAGTCATGTTGGTTTAACTGTCACTATCGCAGAACTGAAGAGGGGCGTTAAACCCGAAATGCATATCCGTTCACACCAATAAAACAACCTTTTCCTCTGAAAGTGTTCCTGTGTAATATGTTCTCAATAGCAACATTGTGCTAAGAAAATACATATTAACAAGACTTCATATACATTTATTCTATATTTAACTACAATAATAAGTGGTACACATTCTATTCCAAAATCTAGCTATATATTCTTCAATCTATGTGTTACCTATCTTAAGGTTCTGATTTGATGTAATCTGGTTAACCTCTTTTCAAAGTTTCAATAAAATCTTTAGATAAAAAGATAACTCATAACTCACTTATGAGAGAGCAAAAATTTGGGTTGTTTTTTTTTTTACTCTTTTTGCTCTGTAGACACTAAGGAAGATCTTTTTATCATCCCATCAAGAGTTTGACTGGACCAACAATGGGGCTGCTGGGTGGAAAGGAATGGGGCTCAACATATCAGGGACAGACCACCCCAAAAAATTTCTGGGTTTTTCAACCCATCCTGATTCTTGGATCCCTCAAAGCATTAGGTTAACACCTTAATCACTTGGTTGAGAAATCCAAATTTCAAATTTTATCTTCAAATATATAAGGACTTCTTTTTAGATTACCAAAAGCAAGTGAAAATAAAAATGATGATCAGAAAATAGGATTTTGTTTGTGACATATATTTTACAAATAAATATTTATAAATAAATACAATAGAGCATCGATTATCCAAATATTGATCAACCGAAAGTGTTCCAGTTGGCAAATTTAAATTTCCACTAGTGCTGTAGCACTGCAATATTTGGCTATATCTTGAGCTACTCCAATATTATTTTTGTTGGTGTGTGTGTTTTAGCTGGCAGCACTGGCCTGACCATGAGAGGGTACTTAAGGACACACCAGGATTTGAACGAATTTAATTAACCTATCCCATGTTGAAACATGGGATAGGTTAATTAAAATATATTAACCTATATGTACAAAAAATATATTAATATATGTACAAAAAATATATTAACCCATCCCATGTTGAAACATGGGATAGGTTAATATATTTTTTGTACATAATCAGTTATCCGAAAAATTGATTATCCGAACAACCTCAGTCTCGAATTGTTTAGGATAATTGTATTGAATTTTTAAATTCTGATTTATTCTCATATATTTGTTCATTCATTCTTTAGTAACAATTTATTGAAAAACTTTTTCAAGGAATCTTTTTATGCTGATTTAATTGTTTTATTTTCAAATATTAAATAGTAATCAAATGAAATTGTTAAAATTTTGAGCACTGACTCTTATAATATGTTTTATGGTTAGAGGATCACTTTCCTTCCTATCTCAGTATAGATAGTAATGAGTGAAAATTAAACAACTAAACATAATCGATTAGTTTTTATTGTGTAAAGTTGTAATTCTGACATTAGTGGATTCTGAATATGGTCTGTTAATTTTAGGTATTGATTTAAAGCAGCTATGAGCAACCTGCAGCCCTAAGCCATATGTGGTCCATAAGCAAGTTCTTAATATGCAGCCCCCAGTGCTTTAACTTAATAATTTTTTTTTTTTTTTTGGTTTGTTTTAGGTCATTATGCAATGCTAATTAAGCTGATATTCATAACAAAAAATATTCAAACTAGACCAGTGAAAAGAATAAATTATATATTACTAGTTTGCATATTATTTTAGTTCCTACTGTATTGGAGGTTATTGAATATGTTGATCCTTGGCAGGCTTAGTTTGCAACACCATAATAAAAGTATGCTGCCCACCAAAAACAGCCTATGAAATTTTCTGCAGCCCACATCCAGAAAAGATTGCTCATCACTGATTTTTAGAATCAAGAAAAGTACACAAACTAAACAGATTATAATTGATGATAATTTTTTCTAAATTATCATCATATAAATATGTCAAAATTTTCAATTACATAGTCTATGTAGTTTTTGAGATAGGTTCTGAAAGGGATGCAGTTCAATTCATCACCTACCTTTAGTTTTTTATCTATCTTTGACAATTTCAGTAACATTATTCAAATATTTTATACTAAAGGAATAATATAATAGACCAAAATATGATGATATTATTAGAAAGTTCATTGAAATTCTAATATCAAATATAATTAAAATGAAATTGAAAATATTTAAATGATATATTTTGTGGTTAAAACAATATTTATATTAAAAATTACAGAAGTACCTTTAAAATAAATCCTACATATAACAACAGCATTTATATTATTAAAAATTATTTTATAAAATAAATACAGTCGACCTTTCCATAACACGGTAGATACGTTTGAGTTTTATGAATCCAGCTTCTACGAGTCCAGCCAATCACAGCCCGGCACGTATTCAGTTTACGGACTACGGCTGTTTGAAAGGTTTCTTCCATAAAATTAATCGATTCTAGACTAATTCGACTCAACATTTCCAAAATACGTATAATTTTTTGGGAATAATCCATAT